GGTAATTAATGCTTTGAGCTTGTCGTTTGGACGGTTTTGCGCCTGGTGCTCAGACAAGTCACTTCCGAAACCTCGACACTTGAGACCGTGTGCTGAGTCATTGCAACTCCAGCAGGTTTAGAACCCAAGCTCTGCGCTCTTCCGTACGCCTGCCAGGTTTGTCGTTTATGCTCCTCGTCTAGCGTTCTGAGTTTGAGTTAGATTATACTGAGTGTTGTGGGCAGTTCGAAGCAACCGCGGCGGCAGACGTTTGATTTTGGCTTGGTGCATGGTGCCGCCAGCTTTATATGGTTGCCCTCGTGCTCTACCCAACTGGAAGCCTTCTATTCCTTGCTTTAAGAGGCTTTCTGGAAATCTAACACCAACAGATCGAAGGTCTCTTCGAAATGCAGCGATTTCTCAGGTTCAGTTGAGTACTTCCACCCAAGCTTCCGAAGCGTGTGCTCAAATGACTCGGAAGAAAGCTTTGCCGAAGCATCCACCTCCAGGAGTGGAAAGTCGTCGTAGAAGCACCCTGAAACCAGGCCCAGAAGATGCCAACTCAAGTGCAAGATCGATGTTGAAAGCCTGTTAAAAGCGAATACCGAAGAAGTAGCCTCAAAGGGGAGGCTCTGCGCCACGAAGTAGCAGTGTTTGCCTGTCGATGGTTCCGTGACCGTAACGACACCAAACTTCAGTGAATCGCAAGACAGTGGAACTTGTCGGTAAGCTTTTTCAAGGTCTAGTGTGCGCCCCAGCCATCTAGGCGGCCGAGCCTTCCAATGGGACTGAAGTTCGCCACGAAGCACCTCTCCGCTGCTGAGCTCCACTTCCAAAGGTGAAGAAGAAACTCTAGCTATGTACGTGCTGATGGCTGTCATCCAATTGACATCAAAGAGAGCAAGTTCTCCAGGCAGCGGTAAGCCTTGTTGACCCCCCCTCCTTGTAGATGTCGATGGGCCTGGCCTGTGTTTCCGGGGTTCCTTGCTCTATGAGGACCGAGAATCCTTCTCCCCGTCTGCTCACTGGATCCGAAGGAGAGCCATCTATTTTGTGGACAACGAAGGAGCTAGAGAGGTGTTGATTAAGGGGGCGAGCAGATCGCGAACGATGCTGCTACGAGCTTCAATTTTCTTCGAGCTCGAGAATAAAGATCATGGAGTCACCTGGCTGGAGCGCGTGGTTTCTCAGAGTAACATAGCCGATGCTCCGAGCAGAGGATTGGTTGCGGAGCCAGCAGCCCTGATCAAAGGTCGTGTGACTGCACTTAGTGTTGAGAGTCTGTGCGCGAAGTGCATGGCTACTGTACAGATACCCTGGGAACTCCTCAAATAGTTATGGTCACTTTTAAAGGGGGTTATGCGTGTTGGGGCAAATCGGTAACATGCGCAGAGACAGCCAGTGCATACATGCTGGGTGCTCCAACCGAAGACCTTCGAATGAACTCTTACTCATCGAACGCCTCGCTTCTGATTGACCCCTCACCGTGAAAAAAAGGAGGGGAGCGTCCTCGTACAGAGCTTTGTGTGATCATAGATTCTTTATTGTACTCATTGGAATAGATTGGGAATCATTGTGAAAACTTAAAGACGGCGTGTTCGCGAAGCGACAAAGTTGTCTTTTTGTTTTCATAGCAGCCGCCTAAGCTGAGCAATGATTTCCAAAATCTGCCCAAACTTGATTTTTAACTTTGACTTCCGTTTTCTCTTGTATGTGTTTGAGGACACAGACACAAGAGTGGGTTTACCGGTGATTTGTAGACTGATGCGGGGAACCGGGGGATCCTGAAAATTTCCGGAATTTTGGAAATCCCCGGAACCCCCTGCAAGGCCCCACAGAGGGGACTGACAATAGTATGCCGCGCCGTTCTTTCAGCGTGGCTCGTTTCGCACACATTGCATGGCAGTCCATGATGTACGCAGACATGGACAAAGCTAGTGCTGAGCTATGCTAAACTTTTTCACCCGCCCTCCCACCCTCGGAGTCTTTCCTTACCGATTTGGGGGTTGGTTATGCGTGTTGGGGCAAATCGGTAACATGCGCCTAGACAGCCAGTGCGCATCTCAACGCATACATGCTGGGTGCTCCAACCGAAGACCTTCGAATGAACTCTTACTCATCGAACGCCTCGCTTCTGATTGACCCCTGACCGTGAAAAAAAGGAGGGGAGCGTCCTCGTACAGAGCTTTGTGTGATCATAGATTCTTTATTGTACTCATTTTGGAATAGATTGGGAATCATTGTGAAAACTTAAAGACGGCGTGTTCGCGAAGCGACAAAGTTGTCTTTTTGTTTTCATAGCAGCCGCCTAAGCTGAGCAATGATTTCCAAAATCTGCCCAAACTTGATTTTTAACTTTGACTTCCGTTTTCTCTTGTATGTGTTTGAGGACACAGACACAAGAGTGGGTTTACCGGTGATTTGTAGACTGATGCGGGGAACCGGGGGATCCTGAAAATTTCCGGAATTTTGGAAATCCCCGGAACCCCCTGCAAGGCCCCACAGAGGGGACTGACAATAGTATGCCGCGCCGTTCTTTCAGCGTGGCTCGTTTCGCACACATTGCATGGCAGTCCATGATGTACGCAGACATGGACAAAGCTAGTGCTGAGCTATGCTAAACTTTTTCACCCGCCCTCCCACCCTCGGAGTTTTTCCTTACCGATTTGGGGGTTGGTTATGCGTGTTGGGGCAAATCGGTAACATGCGCCTAGACAGCCAGTGCGCATCTCAACGCATACATGCTGGGTGCTCCAACCGAAGACCTTCGAATGAACTCTTACTCATCGAACGCCTCGCTTCTGATTGACCCCTGACCGTGAAAAAAAGGAGGGGGGCGTCCTCGTACAGAGCTTTGTGTGATCATAGATTCTTTATTGTACTCATTTTGGAATAGATTGGGAATCATTGTGAAACTTAAAGTCGATTTTCATATTTCTGGGAAAAGAACGGTGTCAGGGCACATGGGCTTACACCTTGTTTGACAATAACCGGCGGGCTTGAAGAGTGTTGTAAACTACAAAAGGCCTTGAGCCACTTGGATGGATGTTTCCAGGGGAGAAGCATACACCCCGCGAGTTAGTTTCGAAGCTTTGAGGCCAAAAATCTTGCAAGGCTTTGGAGCTAGTTTCGGAGCTTTTTGTGACCAAACATGTTGCAAGGCCTTGGAGCCCGTTTCGAGGCTTTGTGGCCACTTGCAAGGTCTTGGAGCTAGTTTCGGAACTTTGTGAGCAGCAATCTTGCAAGACCTGGAGTTAGTTTCGAAGCTTTGTGACCAACGATCTTGCAAGGCCTTGGAGCTGGCGCGGAAGCTGGTTCCGAAGCCTTGTGACCAAAATTCTTGCAAGGCCCTTGGAGCTAGTTCCGAAGCTTTGCGACCAAAAATCTTGCAAGGTCTCGGAGCTAGATTCGAAGCCCTGGGGCCAAAAATCTTGCAAGGCCTTGGGCTAGTTTCGAAGCTTTTTGTGACCAAACATGTTGCAAGGCCTTGGAGCTCGTTTCGAAGCTTTGTGACTAACAATCTTGCAAGGTCTTGAAGTTGGTTACAGCTAGCTTCGAAACTATGTGACCAACAATCTTGCAAGGTCTTGGAGCTGGTTTCTTAGCTTTGTGACCAGCAATTTTGCCAGGCCTTGGAACTAGTTTCGAAGCTTTGCGACGAACAATCTTGCAAGGCCTTGGAGCTAGTTTCGAGGCCCTGTGCAAGGCCTTCGAGTCCTTAGAGCTACTTTGGAGGCTGTGACCAGCAGTCTTGCACTCATTTAGAAGCTTTGTGACCAAGAATCTTGCCAGGCCTTCTTGGAGTTAGTTTCGGAAGTTAGTGACCAACAATCATGGCCTTGGAGCTAGTTTCGAAGCTTTTTGACCACAAATCTTGCCAGGCTTGGAGCCAGTTTCGAAAGTTTGCGACCAATAATTTTGCAAGGCCTTGGAACCACTTTCGAAGCTTGGTGATCGAAAATGAGGGGGGAACCACAGGTGAGGGCTTAACGCCGGGCCGTGGAGGACTGCATGGCAAAATGCAATAAACAGCACATGCAAGTACAGTTTGGCCTCCCCAAATTCCCCGGCACTCAATTGGGAAAGGCGTCCTTATGAAGCAGCCGTGCAGCCGTACATGGGGGGGAGGCTTTTGATTAAGGCGTCTTTTTTTGCCTCTGCATGGGGATCCAGTAGTTCGCTGGATCTGACGTGTTGATTTAGAGTACAAGCTGAGTACTGGAATTAACGTTTCTGTGAGACCGCTGGCTTTTCACTCATTTCTAGTACAAGCTTAGTACTGGAATCGATGCTTTCGTGAGCTGTCTGGTTTTATTGATTTGTAGTACAAGTTTAGTACTCGAATCGAATTCTCATTGGTTTGTAGTACACGCTTAGTACTGGAATCGACGTCTCCGTGCTTTTTGGTAGGTTTAACAAGCTCCTGGAACGAGCGTTTCCTTCGGGGAATGCGGGCAGTGCAGATGTTTTCATGGTGTTGTAGTAGGCTTTTTGGGGAGCGGCGTTCATTGCAGAATGGCATGTCTAACGTAGTTTTTCATCATACATATATGCCCCTTTGCGGGCGGCGTTTATGTGGGGGAGTGATGCCGCAGGGTCGCCTTCGACAACTTAATGGTCCAACGGCGTTCACTGGGGTTTAATACTCTTTGAACAAGTAGTGCCGCCTTTCCCTGCCGTGTGCGCACGCATTTGGAACCGAATGATGAGGTTTCCAGCGTGCCAGAAATTCCTTAAAGCTACCCAGTACACAACCCTCACACAATCAGCTGTTTGCACAAAAGTGTTTGGAGTTGCATAAGGACGCCCAGACAAACCTGAGGATCGTAGGCAGTCGAGATTCAGTCGAGATATGCTGAGGCAAAAGCAACAGTGCGAGCAGCATCGAGCAGTGTGAAATAGTGTGAAATGTTTTTGAAAGGTTTGACATGCAAGTGATCGGAGTCAGTGCCTGGTGCTTGCAGTTCTCCGCTTGGCTTACAACATGTTGTTAGAACTGCTGCCAGTCCCCTGTGGCCTCCATGGGCGCTGCAGCGCCGACATGTTGCTTCCCGCAGACCAGATCCCAAATTTCTTGAAATCTCTTGGAAGTTTTGCTGTTTGCTTTTGCCTTGTGGAAGCACAAAAATAAGGGATAGCCTGTGCGAGGCTCCGAGGGCAGCAGCTGCTCAGTGCGAGGCGGCGGCTTGGATCCCGAGGGCGACGTAGATCCTGTGGAGGCATTGGGGACATTCGCGCAATCAGGCGGGCTTGAGCACAAGGATGCCACCGAGGAAAAGGAAACGCCCGTCGCAAAGCTGGCCACCATTCGAAGTGCACCACCGCAAGAAATGCCGGTATTGTGCTGTGCGCCTACCTCACCGCAGTCTCTGCTTCAGCAGAGCATGAGCATATCTGTCGAAGAGATGATGAACAAGATCCCCAGCCTGGCCAGCCTCACAGCAGACAGCGTGGCGAATTCATCGCAGAGGCACTCAAGGGTATCCAAGATGTCGCCTTCACGGAGTGGGTCTGCGCTATCTGGTGGAAGGAGGAGCGGGAGGGGCATGTTCAGCCTTGCAATGAGCAAAAGCCAACGCTTTGAGTCTCAATGCTACGATGCCGTGGACATCGAGCTGGCCCGGGGAATCTCCATCCGCCGCTCCCTCCGAGGCTTCGGACGTGTCTGGCGCTACAACCCCAGCAATTGGACTCCCCAGGAGCGTGCCAAGCTCTACCAACTCTCAAGGCCGGAGGTCCTAAAATTTGTGTGACAAGTGGAGTGTGCATGCTGTGGCCCTTGTCAGGAATGTGGAGTCTTTTCGTGTATTCTTGTCCCATACCTGGTGGACACCGGGCCGATGGAAGATCTTGTCCCTCTTTTTCCAGTGTGGCTGGCAATATGCCATTTTGTTTTGGCTTCTTGCCACCGTTCTTTCAATCACCTTGTGCGTTCTGGAGGTATTGCCCATGCCGTTACTGTACGAAGTAGAGTCCTTTGGGTTTAACAAGCAATGTCCGCTGGGCTTCTGGATCTTGAGCAGCAGCTGTCTGGGCATGGTGTTGGGTCTTCTGTCCACACCTTACTGGCCGGATTCGTGCAGCTCGGCTCCCCTTGGCAGAGCGTCCTTTTCTTAGAATTCGTTGGGGGGAAGGGGGCGAAGTGGCACGAAGGCAGCAGAAGCGACATGAGCTTCATCGATGTGGCAAGCATTCATCAGCTCGACCTGACGCTGATGGAGCGAGGCGTCTTCGGCATTGGTGGCTGGTTGAAGCTTGCTTGCATGACTGCAAGATTCTGGGATTCGATACCTGTCAAACTTGTTAGTCGTAAACGAGATGATGCTCGGAAGCCCCGAGAAGCCATCGCGAGGCGCATCTCGAAAGAACTTCGGATACTATGGTCCGTGCCCTGATGCACAGGTTTAGTTGACTTTGTTTTGTTTTCGCTTTATGGTGGCAAAGCATTAGCACATTGGCAATCTCCCACAAGGTCAATGCCCAACTTTTCCGTAGAACGTCTAGGTTGAACGTCTAGGTCCTGTTTTGTTTCGGTGTACTTGGACCTTCTAGATTATGTACAGGCTGCGTCGGCTCAGATTGTTGAGCTTTCCTGAACGTGAGCAGTTGGTTGGATACGGGTTAATTTTATCAAGGAGAGAATTCAAAGACTGTGAATCAGCCTAGGCAAAAGCAAGATGAACCAATGAGCAACATCATCACTGAATTTGTTTGTTTCGCCTTCAAGGGTATGTTCTAGCTGAGAGCCAGGGGCAACTTGCCACTGTTACCAGACATTCCTCCCAGCTTAGGGGGGCGCTGTGTTTTTGTTAAGGGGGGGGGGGGGGGGGGGGTCCCTTTGGGCAGTTAAGGTGTCCTGAATCCCAAAGTGTCGTGAGATTGATGGACCTTGTGAGTGGTATATCCTAGGTCCAAGCATGTAGCCCCTCCCAAAGTTAGGCTCTCTTCTAGCTCCTGTTAATGGTTGATCTGGGGCTGAGTCCTAATTGTCTTAATTTTTTGGAGTTACGAACCGCCTTACGGACGGGAAATGGAGGTTGCTCTGGGAACACGAGATAGATGTTCGCCATGAACATGCAAAAGAAATCCAGGTTTCCACTGAGGAAGTCTGTTTTCTCTTTAAACACAGAAAATCATGTTTTCCAGAGAAAACGCTCAACACCAGAGAAAAACAGCCTTATTCTTGGATTTATTGCTCCTCTACGCTGCCCCACGTCTCCACGCCCGCAGCAACTAAAGCAACAAACCCACCCCCCCCCGCAGCAAAAAAGCAAAATGCGCCACGCTACTCTTAGACCCGTCCTTTCTAATTGTTCATCTGTGAGAAGCCAAGAAACCAAACCAGGCTTTAGCAAGGCAAGGTGTGATGGGTGCTGTGGTTGGACTGGTATCGATCTGTTTGTAGGAAAACCGTAAAACCTTTAATTTCTTTATATGCTAGTCAACAACAGCAGCAACAACAACAACATCAACAACAGCAACAACAACAACATCAACAACAGCAGCAGCAGCAGCAACAACAACAACAACAACAACAACAACAACAACAACAACAACAACAACAACCACAACAACAACAACAACATCAACAACAGCAGCAGCAGCAACAGCAGCAGCAGCAGCAGCAGCAACAACAACAACAACAACAACAACAACAACAACAACAACAACAACAACAACAACAACAACAGGCGCCTTACCTGTCACGTCTCTGGTGCGTGTTTGAGCTGGCCGCCTACAAGAAGGTGAATCCACTTGGAAAGCTCACAGTCAGACCTCTCTTCATGGAAAGGATGCTGGCTAGTCTCTGGCTTGCGGTTGTTTCATACAGCTTTTTCTACCTGCTAACGCAGTCGCGCATGGGTAGCGATACTGTATTCTATGTGGGGAATGCTCTTTGCACTGTGCCACTCTATGCGTTGACACACTTTCTGAAGCAGAACTTTTTTGAGAAGCATCAGCTGATTGCCCACTTGGAGACGTTCGACTTGGATGAAGTTGGGTGTTCTCAAGAGTTTGATCGAGCCTGGGACGAAATAGATGCTGAATGGGAGGATTCATTTTGAAGAAGCATTCTTTCAACGGATTTGGCAACCGGGATCGGGTACTTCTGTGGCAGTTCAGGGCTCACGTCATTTTTTCATCGGAGTTTTCTCGCTTGCTGAGTCAGGAGCGTTCATCCATGCAGCTATCGAGAAGCACGGGCGCATTCTAAAACGACGTTTCCTTTTGCTGTTTGTGATAAACAACAAGCCAGCTGTGCCATAGAAAACCCAGATGAGTTAAGGAAATGGTATGGAAGCAAGGAAGCCTTCACAGACTTTGTTCGTGGTGAGCTCAAGATGGAGGTGTCAACAGCAATCTCATCGAGAAGGAGATTTCCACTTCAATACCTCCTGTTGATCAGCCTGCCAATATTTAGCGTGAGTCTTGAACTATTGTTGGCACTTTGGATGGCTGGTGCGCCACAAGAGCACGTGGTGTCCTTCTTCATCTGCAACTTCATGGGACTGAACCTGTTTTTGTTTTCTTCCACCGTCTTGGTGCTGTGCTACATGTGCGACCACTTTGCACGGCACCTGAGCCACGCGTGGACCCTGGCAGTGACGTGCGTCATTGCGGCGTGCGGTGGCACCGGTATGAGTCTTGCCAGAGTCGCTTGGAAGAACGGCTTGGCCTATACTGTGATCTATACGCTGGCCGCCCTGCTTGTTGCTATTCTTGCACGTTGGTTGGATGGCATCTCCTGCGGAATTGCGTGCTCATGCTGTGGTCCCTGGCCTCAGACGGATGGCATGACGGCCATTCCTGTTACAGATTCCGCCAGAGGTGTCAGCACCATCCTTGAGTCCAGCCAAGAGCTGAGGGAGGGAGCGTTTGGCACGCGGTCCTAAGCTTTCCCCACAGAAAGTCTTGTACAGATTGTAAATGGTGGGAGCGCGTGGGAGCTTGTCTTTATGTTGTTTATAGGATCCTCTCACCTCCTGAAGCGCAAAGCGCTTCCTAGACAAGAAGAGGCAACTCACACAGCATGAATTGTGAGCCGAGGATCGCTCATGCACACATCTCTCATTTCTTCCTTGCATCTCTGTGGCCTTAGGCCCGGGGAAACGAGAGTGAGAGCTGTTAAACATGGTTGCAGTTTGGCAACCACCCAAGGCTCCAAGCAACAACAGAGGCACGTCTGGAGTGGCAGTTATTTGATGAGGCTGAGATGTTCGCACTTTCGAGCTTTCGTGCTTGGAGTTTCAGGGTTGAGGGGCCTTGGAGGCTTGGCCCGCTTCTCGGGGCGCGCTGCCCTGTGCCCTTACCATGGCTGGCACTCCAGCGTCCAGCCCTCTTAGTCCAATAGTGTCTCACTGCGTCATTGAAGAAAATCGACGAAGCGGGTGTCAGCACTCATGGGCGTTTTAGCAGGACCTCCTGAACAAGGGTCTTGAACTCGTTGGAGAAGGGTTTCGGGTCTCTCAGAGTTCACGGATTCAGGGAAGATGTGGGGAAGGAGGCTTTTCAAGGGTCTACAGCTTCGTTCGCCCCCGCCACCTGACCGCCATCGCGAATTGATATCTTGCCTCCATGCCCCGAAGGCTGAAACGCCTTGGCGTTTAGGTGAGTTTTCTGAAAGTACATCCTTGTACATCCTTCTAGAATTACTGTAACTACTCCAAAAAGGGCATTTGCTTCTGGCCAAGCGGACTGGAGTTGTGGGGTTTTGTCTTGTGTCGTCGCTTGGCACGCCGATCAGACACCCTGCTTCGCGGCCCACGCCGAGAGGAGGAGGCCAGCTTTTGCAGGAACGCCTCCTTTGGGTCGAGTTCAGACCCCGCGCCCGTCTGAAACTGGTATGGTGAAGTCGGCTTGTGAACAGTTTTCGTGAACTGGCCGGGCTTTGCCAGGCTACGAGGTTGGACGAGGTAGAAGGCGTCGTAAAGGTTGAGGGGGCCGACAGGCGGGAACCCCGCCACGGCATCGTGCGATGGTCCGGGTCAGAGACGACGTCTCATCGAGATACAGGAACAATTCCACGACGTTCCACGTGCGTGTCTGCTGGAACGGTCGGCCCCGCATGTCACTTGCCGACCATGACGAAGCAAGCAAGCTGGGCTTGTCTCGTAATAAGATTTGGCGAAGGATTTTGGAAACCGGTTCGAAGTGCAGAAAATACAGGCGCTTGACTCGGAGGAGGCCGGGAACCTCAAGAATCATCGCGATGAACAGCAACAACGTCTTCATCATTACTCATCCGGTCCGTGGGGTTCCCTGAGAGCCCTCGGTTGCCGTCACTCCTCGAGAGTACTGCGTGCGGTTGAGAACAGAGTTGAGTGGATTCCTGATCGCACGAAGCCGCCCCCTTTAGGATACGTGTGAAACGAACTTTCAGAAATCTTTAGGGACCAGCGCCCCATCACAAAGTTTGCGAAAGGTCATTGCGTGATCATAACACTATTTGAGACGGCCGTCTCCCGACAATGCCATCGCTTGAACCGAGCAAAGCGCTCCAAACATGTTGTCCATGTGTTGCAACGCCTGCCCGGACTAGGTCGTCCTGCAAAATTTGATGCCACGGCATGCCCTTCTAAAGGCAAAGTAGTGGCAACATCGTGGCAAAGTCGTACTGACGAACTAACAAGCCGCGGAACATGTTTCGTGAGTAATCGCTGCGCCGAAAATCTGAATCGCTGCGTCAGACACATTTGGATCGCACAGTACGTCCCTGTTTGCAAGAATGCTTTCGATGCAGGTTAGCTTGGCCGCTGTCATGGCCGCAGACATGTGCCAACAACTTCTCAGGCGATGAAGTTGTGCCCCGAGTGAGGCCAGCCGCGGCTAACGCACAATTTTTTGTGGACGTGGGTCCGCTAGCGGAGTCTCAACCGTATGTTACCCAAGATCAGCGTGCCTGGGACGGGACATGGTCGAGTGCCTCCGGAGAAAGGGGGCGACTGGCCTTTTGGGGGAAGTTCAGCCGTTGGGGCCCGACTCGCTGCAGAGTTCTCATTGTTCTCCAAGGTGGACCAGCGCCGCGGCGCGCGCAGCTCTGCGCCTGAGGTCACTCGGAGGAGTGAAGAGGCAGCCCTCGCACTGGAGGTGCATCACTGAAATTCGTTGGCTGCGGGGAGGAAAAACAACTCAGGCCTTCCCCAGGCATCAACGCCCAGCGCGGTGTAACCGATGGCCTGCTGGACCGCCGTGGGCAGCACGCTCCACCAGGGCCTCGCCAAGCCAGGCAGTGCTGCGCACGGCGGTGTGCGGCAGGCGCGCAGTGCTACAAGCGCCTTACGAGCGAAACCGCGGAGCCATTCCAGCGTCCGCCGACTTTGCATGCCAGCACGCATAGGGATTGCACGCCCCCACTTCGTCCCGTGTCTCGAAGAGCAGATCGCGGGGCAGGAGGCGCCGGTGCGGGGCAGGCAGAAAACTCGGACTCGGCCGTGGACGTCGGCGCGCAGCTCAAACCCGGCTCGTCGCCCGCGCGCCATGGGTACCCATCGGGGCACGGGCCCGGCGCCGTGCTTTTTCTTTGCTGCGTCCGTGCTGACCGGATGATGGGCTAGGCTGGGAGGTGGGGCGGCTCTGAGCGCCGCAGCTTCCGCTGCTGTGGCCGGACCGCCATACATAGGACTGCCGGCATGGGCGAGCGCAGGATGCACGCCGGTTCGACGCAAAGCATGGCACAACAGCTCCGCCTCGAATGCCGCCCCGTCCATATATGTCCGGATCATCCTCATCGAAGGCTGCGAGCGCGTAAAGCGTGACCATAGGGCTATCCACTGAGATGCCATGGAGCCGCATTCGCCCGTGCCGGCACGAGTCGAACCCGGCTTGGCTGCCTCTCCGACACGTCCTGAGTGGTGCTAGGGCAAGCCAACGCCTGATCGCTTTGGCTCCTGCCACAAGGGGCTACTTGGCAAAAACAACGTGCCAGAGGGATGTTCACGCGCGCGCGGAAACATGAGGGAATGCTGAAAACACTGCCCCTGCCGAGTGATTCGTACTGCACGGCACACAGCAAACCTCATGAAAAGGTGGGAGTTTTTTCAGGGATTCGCTACGCCTTCCACGTGCAGAGCCGCTTAAAAGAGCCAATTGCTGTCATGCTTGGCATCGAAACAGTGCGCAGGTTCGCACCCCAGAAGACCGGCACGTGCTGTACGATAAAGACGCAGAGCCTCAAGGATGGTTTGCAATCCAGGCTTCCGCAACAAGCGACGAGCAGAAAGCAGCGTGGTATGGGCAGTGCGTGGTGCCATTCTGCCCAAAGCATTCAGTCGAAAAAAAAGAAGCCTTCACGGGAGTCGCCAAACGTGGCGGTCGTGGTGGCCTGGCCGGCCCGGGGTGGAAGACAAAGAACCTCAAGAATGGAAACGACGACGTAACAAGGGAACACATGCGAAAAAGTGAAAACGTTTCCAATTAGAAAGGAAGAAGCATATAGATGATCCTCGACGTCAGTCATGGAAAATCGGATGAAGCCATGGAAGTCGTGCGAGAGGCATGAGCCGTTCTGCCGAAGCACCAGCAGGCACGCGAGTGTGAGCGGCAGCCACGGAGTAAGATGCCTTTCCAGGATGCTTGAGACCAAGCAGCAATGTGTCAGGTTGATGTGGGGCTTGTCATTGCGGTCATTCGAACGTTTGGACTTGTGCCATCCTTTGGGCAAAATGGCACCCAACTTTCCAAACCATACCTTATTGCCATCCTCTAGATGCTTGACAAGGATGGGCAACAGAGGCTTAAGGTAGCTTCTAGCGTGTTTCATGGAGCAACCAAGAGCCATTGCATACTCAAGGACATTGGTCACAGAGTCGACACAATGTGCTCAGCGTTAGTGGCTTTGCGTGGCCACACAGTATCCCTGCAACAAGCTGTCGCCACCACGGCGGACCCTTCCGGTCACTTGCCTGCGGCTGCCCAATCTGCCAATCTGCAGGCGTTTGGGGGCCAAGCGCTCGCGGTTGAGGCCGCAGTTGCGCTTTCCGACAGGCTCGGGCCCGCCGTGCCAACCTGGCCCGGAGGCGTGTGAAGAGGCGGCAACCGCCGAGGCCTGCCTCGCTGATGCGGCCGATCGCGCGAGCAGATTGCAAAAGGGCCGCGGCCGCCGAGGCCGAGGTCGGGGCCGACGTGGCCGCGGACACATTCACCGAAAATCCCTCCGCCGTACGCGCCGTCGTACGCGCCGTCGTGCGTGCCGCAGTCCGCTCTCGCGCCCCTCCGGCTCTGTCCTCCAGTACTACATTTGCACGACAATTCAACGAAAATCCACCCGCCGTACGCGCCGTCGTACGCGCCGTCGTACGTGCCGCAGTCCGCTCTCGCGCCCCTCCGGCTCTGTCCTCCAGTACTACATGTGCACGACAATTCAACGAAAATCCCCCCGCCATACGCGCCGTCGTGCGCGCCGTCGTACGTGCCGCAGTCCGCTCTCGCGCCCCTCCGGCGCTGTCCTCCAGTACTACATTTGTACTACAACTCAACGAAAATCCCTCCGCCGTACGCGCCGTCGTACGCGCCGTCGTACGCGATGTTGGTCACAGCTCAATCAAGCACAGCTTTGACGTAGCAAGCATTTTTTCACCCGGTCACTTGAGCCAAGGCATTGCCAAGGCAAGTCTGATGCAATCATATGCAATCACTCTTGATTTACGGATGTCATGACATGTAAGGCATCAAACGTGAGCCAAGTACTTCAACTGCTCACACAACGCCCCCATGCCGAGCATGGCATCACAGTCAAAGGAAAATGGAATCAAAGTGTGGAGACTTCTGTCCCGTCTGCTGAATCTTGCGAAAAGAATACGCCAGCACCGAAGAAAATCTGTACAAAAGAGTGCCTGTGCAAAATGATGATGGGTACGACCTGTGCGGCCGCTACCGCTCGCAAACTGGCTGTGTAAAGCAAATCAATCAACAGCCTAGAAAATCAGCACTGTTCATGCATCCAACGAAAATCAAGAAATCAATCATGAGATCATGCGGAAAATCAAGCAACACATGCGCATAATCATGACAACGAAATCGTCGGCAATTCACTTGCTCAAGGTCATGCTCAACCATGCTGTAAAAGCCCATGCAAATCTCAACCATGCGGGTGAACTCCCAAAAGCCGTGAAAAATGCTTGAACTTGTTCTTCTGCAATGCTTTCGTCATGATATCATGCAACCATGACAAAGGCACGCCTTGTGTTCGCTTCATGTACTTGAGCACACCATATGCGTCATCGATTGCTGCGATGCCTGTTGCTGAATCGGGATTTTTTTGGAATTCGATATCCCAACAAAAACTCGAAAAGATCTTGTGCACAGATCCCGTGGCGCTTGACGTCAGCCATAGCAGTCACTTCGGCATCTGGCGCCGACAATGCAGTTGCACCTTGTCGATGCGATCTCCAAGCAAATGTCGCGCGAGTGCCATACGACCCAACGAGTTGCGAAACAGCTCCTGACGTCGATCGCCTGGTTTCAGGATCCGTCGCCCAGTCAGAGTCGACCCACAGTACCCGCTCACCTCCGTGTGCTCCTCATGCGACGGCTGCGGCTGCCGCTCCCACTGGCGCCCCGCAATTGCCGTTGCAGAGGCCTCATTGACTCCTTGGGAGACCACCGCTCAGCTTGTGCCACGTCTGGCGTTTTAGCGTCCAGGGCCCGTATGCCGAGAAGGTGGTGCGCGAGTTGCCCGCAACGTCAGGGTCGCCGACATGAACATCGATGTTCCTGTCCGCGACGCACGTTGCATCGAAGTCGTCGCGAACGGCTTACCCCTCTGGCACGGAGCGCAGCTCGCTATTGATGCAACTATTGTCAGTCCGGTCACACGGGCTGGCATGCCGCAGCCGGGCGCCGACAGCCGCCCAGGCGCAGCAGTACAGGCCGCCGCTCGCCGAAAGCGGCGCCAAACGTACCCCGAGCTCGCAAGCGCGCGGCGTGCGCGGCTCGTCGTCGTCGGGGTCGAGGTAGGAGGGCGCTTTGGTGCTGAAGCCGCCGCCTTCCTCCGCCACCTTGCGCGTCACCGCGCGGCGAGTCTCCCACCCCCGCTCCGGGCCGCCGCAAGCGCAGGGTGGGTGCAGCGCTGGTCCGGCCTCCTCGCTGTCGCGGCCATGCGCGCATACGCAGCGTCTCTCCTTGAGCTACCGCCGGGAGGCGACATCTGCGATGAAGGAGCTGCGCCCGACTTGCACGAGATCCTCGCTGAGGTCCGGGACAGCTCCTCGCCGTCCGCCAGCCGGCTGCCGGCAACCTAGCCCGCGTAGGATGCCGCTTTCATGCACTGGGACCGCGGTAACTGTCGCAAAAAGGTGCGTGGAAAAATCAAGTGTCAGAGTGCGTTGCTGAACATCAGCAGGATTGAGAACCAGACGAAGTGCGTTGGACTGAGTAGCTGCTAGATATCCCATGAGACGATGCAAGGCCGCATCCTGTCTTTGGGTCCATTTTGTAGTGTACCGGCCTAACCATCCGACAGCAAAAGATATCTCAGGACGACTATTCCGAGCTATCCACAGTCCGGCCCCCACGCACGTCCCACAATTTGAGGCAAACTGACCTGGTTCATTCATGCTGGACACATCACTGGCCGCGAGCTTCACAGCTGGTGTGTCGTATCGTGGAAGTCTACAGGCCCCAATCTCATCCAAATACTTCCGCGTGAAGGTATCGATTTAAGCATCCTGCTTGACAAGAAACGTGGCAACATCAGCATGGTCACGTGACAGTATGTCTTCGGAACCTGCAAATCGGCTGACGGGTTGAGGTGGGTCTGCGAAATCGAAGCACTCGAAAATCTCAGCCCATGCGTGTGGTGGCACTGGTTTGTGCCCCGCCAACTTGACATCATCCACAAAACGGCCCACGCCCACAATGTGTCCGTTGTATTCCTTTTGCAGCCAATGCTTAAGCAACAACCGCTCGTCAGCATACTTCCCAGTCGCTGTTTGAACCTGTGAGCCCGTAGATGGCCATGTACAAAAGGTGAACTGGACATCGCATCTCCAGCTCTGCTTGTGTGCGAAATTCTCTTGGCAAACATTGTCTCCGAGCGCGACTATGCGAGCTTTGAACCGGTGCACTGATCGAGTTCGTAGTGCTTGATCCCCAAGATAAGATTTGCCTGCACGTACTCCACGTCAGGCCCGTACTTGGCCACAGCACTTTCCCATTCACATGCTTCGGAATCCCAAGTCCGCTTCGATGCGTGGTTTGCCGCCTCCTTGCGGATGGCTGCACGCGCGGCGTTTGTATCCCACTCTGGATCCTTGCGTTTGACTGTTTTCGTGACACAAGCGAACATTTTCCCGAGCTCAGTTGTCAACTTGTCCAGCTCCTGTTCCAATCTGAGCGCTGCAGCCGTCGTGAGAACCGTCCCACTGCGAACGACTGTGCTGAGTCCAGACCGATCACTTTCAAACGTTACCGTGGAGGAGATGGCCCCATTGTCAAGAACATTGCTGGGCTGCTGCGACCTCTCGGAATCAGCATCCGAACTGTGTATGCGGTCTGGCCGAAATTCGGTGCTCGTCCGACTGTGATTGCTGTAAGTTGGCCTGGATCGTTCCGAGTCAGCATCGGATGGATGTGATCGAATGTGTGCTGGAGACGCCGGGTTTTGTGCGACAGTTGGGCCTTGAGAAGCACGTTCCGAATCTGCATCCGATGAATGCGACCCGCGGCGAGACCGTGATCGCCCAGATGAAGATGTGACATCGTCTGCGCGTCGATCTGACATCGGAGTCGATGGGCCAAATCAGGGCGAGGCGGTACAAGACCAGTATCCATGCTGTCATCGAACTGAGGGCCGTAGTTGTGCCGAGGAGGCGCCTGCGCGTCCGTGAACAAGTCTACCCGCCAGCGAGGTCGGCGAAGCGGGGCATCCGAATGATGACGTCCATCACCTTCATCGTCAGGGGGTGGAATCATATCATCGTCATGCGTATCATCGTGTATGTCATGCGACATGGGAGATCTGGAGCTGGAGGAGTCGATGACGCCCCCATCACGGCTGCCGGGCAAGCTCAGGGAGTAGTCCACGCTTGTCTCGTTGGAGGCCGCGTGCTGAACGTCAAGAAATGAATGACCACCACACCGAGCACGAAGGCAGCCGGGACCATCCACATGCCGACGACGACCACCACCAAGCAAACATCCCCGACAATGGACCTCTGCATCAGTGGCCCACAGTCCGCAAAGTACGCAACGGCCGTCATCGCCAGCAACGGGCGTGGGCTGCAACACCTCCGGTTCGAACAAACGGTGGGCCCAGTGCGCTGCATCAGGGTTGTCCATGCCCAGCTCATGAAATGGCCAGCGCAACTGAGGCGGAAAGCGCGCATCACGTGTGTGTACAATCCGTGCTTCGCCCTTTGTTTCGACGTAGTGCTCGAAATCCAAGACGTAATACGACTGCAGCCGGCTATAACCCAACACAACACCAAGCCGTCCACGAGATGCAAACTTGTCATGCTCCTCAGAAAAATAGTAGCAAGCGGAGCCGAAGGGACGCAATTTGCTCAAATCGTAGGGGCGATTGAAGCGGAGCTGGTAAGGAGACTCGGCTCCATTGGCACCAGGGCTGCGCGCGTAGACAAAGAGGAAAGCCACAACAAATGGCAAGCCATGCCCTTTGCAACTGTGCGGTAGAAACGCTCAGCACGAGAGTTGGTTTGCGGCCGACGCGGCAAGGAGCGTTCATGTCTGACCTTCCGTCCTTTGAGCTTGGCAGCAAACTCGCCTTGGAATTCACTGACACCCACTGGTTCCCATTACATGTCGTCGAAAGCGGCTTCGGAGGCCTGCTTGGTGCGCAAAGCACGTGCGGCAGGGTACCCCGTAGCATCATCATGAGTAGTCATGGCATACACCTCGTCATTGATGCTGGGGCGCGTGGGGCCGACAAGATCACAGTGAATGCGTTCGCCATGCACTCGGGCTGTCTGCTTGTCATTTTCCACGGATTGTTTCTTGCGGGACGCCGGCGCGCGGCACATCTTCGCTTGCAAGCACGCTTCGCAAGTGGGGTCCTTCGGAAAGTGAGCCAAACAATGTTGATCCGCGGGTTGCGTCTGCGTTGCCAACGTCAGGGGAACCGAAAGACTGGCGAGTTCCGCCCCACTGAGGGTCATGCAGAACTCCCGGCTGGCGAAGAAGTCGTTCAAGTCCGTGTCGTTCACATCCCCGTGCATGCTTGCAGGACCAGCATCGACAGCGCTTAACAAGAATGGGACTCGATTGACCATGGTGAGCGGCACCTCGTTGGAACCACCATCACGCCAGAAATGCGGCTGTTCCGACCACGCCGGCCAGTAAAAATGATACCCCATCTCAGCGCAAGTTTCGCCCATCGATGCCATGTTGATTTTTGACTCCGGCATCACCATAGCCGAGCGACGCCCTAGATGCGGAACCATGGCGTCTACCATTGCTGTTGGCCGAGCCGTCCCAGCCCCTGTGTCGATGTCACAGTCTGCACTTTGCATGGTTTCCCACATGGCATCATCGGCATTTTCGCCCATGATGCAGAATTGACTGGCCCCAGAATCCAGAGCCCACGCTGCGCCCGCAAACTGCTGAAGTGCGTTCGGCACGATATCGGCAAACCATGCGGAACCACCGAACCGCTTGGTGAGGAACTCCGAAAACGCCTTGGTGAGGACATCTGCGAAGTTCGGCCTGTAAGCGGAACTTCAACCAGCACTTTTGCGCTGTGTGTCCGGGCTTGTGGCAATGTTCACACGGCTTGTCACTGCCTTTCTTGCTCTTGTGCTTGCCCTTGCCTCCCTGAGACTTGCCGCCTGCCGCCGCGGCAGCAACGGCCTTGGCTGCTGCAGCCTTTTCCTGCGCTTTTCGCTTTTCTATCTCTTCCGAGTGATGTGCAAGCAAACCGTTGATGGCATAGATCAAGGCGTCTAAATCCACAGAATTGCTGGCATTGAAAACGGCAAAAGTGGCATCCAGTTCTTTGATGTCTTTGAGTTTGCGCTTCAGAAGCGCAATGCCCCCAGCATTCGTGAGCTTATGCTCGCCGGAACCCTGCCATGTAGCCGTCAAGCTCCGACAATCCAGAACAACTGAGCTCTTGGATCTTGGTGTTAGCCTCCGTGGCTAAATGCGTTGACTCATGCATGTGCCGCTGCAGAACCAGTCTCTGGCAGATCCTTGATGTAGATGCGTCCTGATGTCGCATCGTCCGTCGCCATGGCACCTACAGCTACGGCTGATAACCCTGTGTTGGTCACAGCTCAATCAAGCACAGCTTTGACGTAGCAAGCATTTTTTCACCCGGTCACTTGAGCCAAGGCATTGCCAAGGCAAGTCTGATGCAATCATATACAATCACTCTTAGTACTTAAACTGCTCACACGCGACGTCGTACGTGCCGCAGTTCGCTCTCGCGCCCTCCGGCTCTGTCCTCCAGTACTACATTTGTACTACAATTTAACAAAAACCCTTCTGCTGTACGCGCCGACGAAAATCCCTCCGCCGTACGCGCCGCCGTGCGCGCCGTCGTACGTGCCGCAGTCCGCTCTCGCACCCCTCCGGCTTTGTCCTCCAGCACTACATTGGTACTACAATTCAACGAAAATCCCTCCGCCGTACGCGCTCTCGCGCCCCTCGGATCCGGCTCTGTCCTCCCAGTACTACATTTGTACTACAATTCAACGAAAATCCCTCCGCTTCCCGCGCCGCCGTACGCGCCGTCGTACGTGCCGTCGTACGTGCCGCAGTCCGCTCTCGCGCCCATACCCCCTTCGTTTTCATCCCCCTTTCGTTTTCATCCCCGTTTCGTTTTCAGCCCCGTTTTGTTTTCACCTCGCGGCTCTGATCTACCCGTTTCGTTCTCATTCCCGCTTCGTTTTCATGCCCGTTTTGCTTTCACCCCGCGGCTCTGCATGATCTCCCCGCTTGGTTCATTCCCGTTTCGTTTTCATCCCCGTTTCGCTTTCACCCCGCGCCGCCATTCCCCGGTATCGCGCTCTCGCGTTTTGAACCTAAACGAGAACCCAACATCCGAGATGTTTTTGAGAAAAAAAACAATGGAGCATCCTCGGCGCTAATTAGCAGAAATAGCTTCCACCTATCCCCGGCAGTTTCGGATGACGTCGCGTCTCGGATGGTTTCCAGTCCGACCCGAAATGCGTTGCGCAGAGCCCCTCCAATGTTAATCGTTTTCTCAATGCTCCTGTCTCTGCGCCGAAACATCCAAAAATCCAGGGCGTTGTGCGACTAGGGGCTCAGCGAGACAGCCTTTCTGTTGGTTTTTTTTTACATGTTGTACACGTGTGGTGTTTGGAGAATTTTTCGGCTCCTACTCAGTGTCATTGCAAAACATAACCGGAGAGCTAGAGGCTCGGGATTCATATAGTCCCTGGTGGAGCCCGTTAATTTTTTTCCCGCATGACAAGCTGGCCAGACAAGCTGCGCGTCATGTTTAGGGCCGTAGCAGGCAACACAGTGCAGCCTGGACCATGGAAGCCATGCAACCATGCTTCCCTTGCCGAACATAGCAACCTGAAGAGGCGGAGGAGGAGCAGGCGGAGAGGGGTATAGACGGTATAGAGTACAATTCACAGGAGTTTCACAGGCTGGGGGCTGTGGGCAGACATGGACTTTGCATTTTGCAGGACGACCAGGGCATGACGTTAGAGAGACAGTGATGCCTGTCACTTTGCGGAATTTCAGCGGTTGCATTTGTTTGTTCTAGTCCTGCCCACATACATGCGCGCATGTTGAGTTTTTCTGACCTCGAAGCAAGGGCGCGGCAAAGAAAGTTGTGCTGAAAAAGAAGAAACGTGCGAGCACACTTGTGCGTCTTTCGGTGGTGGAGGCTGAAGAAGCCGTTTTGGAGCTTGAAGATGGGGATCTAGATGCCCAGCAGCTTCAAGGCCATGTCCTAGAGGACAGCAAGGACAAATTTTTCACAGAGCTCCCGGCAATGCCGACAGCATCAAGAGAGGAATGGTGCAAAATCGTGGAGGCGAACTTCCAAAGCAGCTTCAAGAAACAGGCGGATCGTCACAACTCACCAGCAGACCGGCTGGAACTTGCAGCGTGGCAGCAGCGCCCCTGCTTAAACGTCGAACGTTTGCGGGTCGTTGAACATGAAGACGGATCTTTCCGTGTTCACTACGGGGAGAACGATAGCATTCCGCCAAAGGCTGTCAAAGCGCAGGAGGACCCGAATTTCGCCTAACAAGGGTACGAGAGGTCAAGGGGTGGTAGCCTTACATGTGCTAAGCGTGTGCATGGGTTCAATGTCTGGCTCTTTCGGAAAGTTTTTTTGCAGGTACACATCTTCAACGCGGTGGCAGATGTCACTAGACCACGCCGGGGTTTCTCAAGGCTTTTTGGGCCAGGCTACTAGGCGTGAGAAGCTGTAGCAGTTGGGAGGCTGACGGGAGCCGTGAGAAAGCTGAGAACCGACCAATGGCAAATGACATTAGGGGGAAAAGTAATCCTGGTGCTGGCAGAAAACGTAACAATGGATCAGAATAGATCGATTTAAGAGTGCAGATTCAGAAGCCAAATTATGTGGTAGCCAGGTAGCCCATGGCAGGAGAAACAAGCCCGAATGCCCGACAACGCGTGAAGACATGGCCCAGCTCGGACACCGATACATATGTTCAGCTAGATTGCTACTTGATCCAGAACTGACATCTACTTCCCCTCTGACCATTACATTGTTGAAGAAGTTTCTTTTTTGCGGTGAAAGGTCCAGGTTGCAATGAGAAGACGAGATAAAGTGAAAATTTTCAGCCAACTGTTGAAGAATGGAGCGAATACAACCAGAAGTTAACGAGTTTCTGCCAGAAGAACCGATAGAAACGTGGAACAAATTGGCTTCAGACGTTGAACTGGTCGCCAATGCATATAGTGCATGTTTGACAGCAGCGAACATAAATAGGCAATACAGGACAGACGAAAGGCACACGAACAAGGACGCCAGCAGGAGGATAAGAAAGTAGACCGATTTATTGCAAAGTGCAAGCAAAGGTAGAAGGAACACGATTTTGAATAGAGTTCAAAAACCGAGAAATGTTCAAGGCGTAAAAGGATTGAAGGCAGAACGAATGTCAAAGCACATGCAAATGAAGGATGTAGATGGACCATTTGTGCACCCTTAAACGAGAGTCTCACACACTAAAAGTTCGGAAGAAGGTTTTGGCCGCTAGGTTAGTAGAATCACCTTGTGAGAAAGGTGACGCAGATATCCCGTCCAGACGTGCAAATTCTAGATTCTGTATCATTGGCTTAGTCATGTTGGGGTTTGGGCTTCAGGCTAGGCTGGTGTCCGTGTCTGGGCCCTTGCGCATAGTTTCTGCAACCTCTGGCTACTTAAGCAACCTTGCTCTTTGTGAACTTTGCCGGGCGAGCTGAGACAAACAGGTGTTCTCAGGGACGGAGTTCAATACACTTCCACACGCCAGTTCTGCCCAAAGGAGATTGGAGTGTGGGTCCCGGTTCCATTCCCTCCTTTTCTCTCTTCCGAATTTCCAATAGCAAGCACATGTTACAGAATCGATCATCGAATTCTGCCTTCCAGCGCTGCGTCGGGTGCCTCGGCGGTGTGTCCACCTCGGCGCTGTTTTCATGCCCTGGCACAGCGTCGGAAGATCAATGCGTTTTCAAGGGTTTGAGCAACCAAGATTGTTTTATGTGGCTCAAGCATTTAAAGAATCCATTCGCAGAGACACCAAGTTAAAAACAGGTGGCGGCTTCGCCAGCCATGTGTTTCACCAGTGTTTTGGTCGCCGACACTGTCTTGTGTGTTTAAGGCATTAAGGGCTCAGAGTTCTTTCTCCGAAAGCTCTTCACATCCTAACGAGGCTGTTGGGGGCTTAGTTCGGAGGGTCTTTTTGCGCAGCGGAGGGTTTAGCTAACCTCGGCGAATACGTTTGGAGATCGAATCGGTTCTTGCCATGACTCACCGACTCACCATGACAGCAGTGAAAGTCATGGCAGTCTACTGTGTCTCGTTACACCGGGCCGAAACATACACGCAATGGCAAGCTTGCCTCAGTGGCGAGATTTTGGTTTCAGTGCGCAATCTCAAAGTAGCTTAGTGTTTGAAGTTCGGGTGTCTATTGAGGAGCTAAAGGACCTCCTGACCGAGATCCGAGTTCATGCCAGAATGCCAACATGCTGGGAGGCCGGTCACAGATGGAGGGCAGACATCAAGCAAAAGCTGCAGGGATGTCATCGACAACTCGACGGTGTTGATTTGAGAGGTGCCGATTTATCATTCACTCAGCTACAGGCAGCATCTTGTGACAGCATTCAGCTGCAAGGGGCGAACCTTGTCCGTGCCGACTTGCGCGGTGCGAACTTGGAGAATGCGAACCTCCAAGGGGCCAATTTGTATCGTGCTCAGCTGCATGGGGCTTGCCTTGCGCACGCGGACCTCAGGGGAGCTAACCTTCACTCGGCCGACTTAACGGGTGCGGACATGGACAGTGTCAAGCTGGCTGGAGCTGATCTTACAGCAACTGCATGGACAAGCCCTCCAAGCGCAACCGACATTGATTGCGGTATCCTTCCTTTCCCGAAGTTTCGCAAGACGGAGCCTCGCTTCTGCAAGCAATGTTGTTTTGTTGCTCTTTGACTCTTTGAGTTGGGATGGAGCAATCATGCAACGTTGGTACCGGGAAGGAGAAGACTCACGAGAACTCGCTCCTGTTGCAGTATTGGAGGGGCGCAAAGCGGGCATTGTGGGGTGATGGTGAAGAAGAGGATTCAGACGCTGCGGAGGAGACGGAGAGCAGAGGGCCAGAGGAGAACTCTGGCGGGTTGCATGTCAGTCAGGTGTGGCACACGGTGTGGCTACAGACTGTCTATCAATTTGATCTTGAGTTGTGCTTTTCACGCGGGTGCTCCAGATTCTTCGCCTCTCAGGTTTCAGAAACTCCTTCCGAGCTCCACGAGGCTGCTCGGCACACAGGCCGGGCAACCATGACTTCAGGTTACCAGCACGATGTGGTCTCTATACTTGTCTTCCGGCCTGAAATGAGGAGCTGAGTCCTACAGCCAAGACTGCGGGAAGCATGGATGAGAGACTCATTGGCTTGATGAAGCAGGAGAGCACAGGGCCTATGTAGGCGACCAAAGTCCAACTTTCTTGCAGATCACAGGTCTTTGGCCGAAATTTTGCAATCTTGTGCATGCTGCCTTTGGCTAGCACTTGAGTCTTGACATCCCGAGGCAGAGCAGAACCTCAGACGGATATTGAAGAAGTTATCCGTCCCAGCCACATATCGCGCGCGTGCCCTGCTCCAGGTGGGAAGCCAGCAAGTGTATCAGAGGGTTGGGGAGCGAGCAGGGGCATGTGAAAAAGGGTTTCGCGGCTTCGTGGTACCGAGCTCTGTTTTTGCTCGACCGCTAGCTACAGCTCCGTGGCTTGCAGTGCACGACTGATCTTTCTTGCGGCGTGCAGGTCGTCTGCAACAAACAAGCTACGCTGCGGGTGGTTTACGTGCATGAGGAGGGACAGGAAGCCTTGGAAGAAGTGTTGAGACAAGTGTCAAAGATACACACGGATGAAGAAGTTTTTTGGACCTTCGACTACTTCGAGAAAGAGCTTGCAAGCCTGCAGAAGCGTGGTTTGCAGGCTTGCAAGGGTCTGGAAGAGAGCCACCGTGATGACGAAATGCCGCTTTGCATCGTCTTGTAACATAGGAGTGCGGGAGCAACGTAGATGCTGCCCGCCTGGTGGCCGCTGGTAGCCCATGTTCAACATTGTGCCACATTGTTCAACCTTATGGGCAGGTAGGGCCAATTCTTTCGAAGCTTGCTGATGCGCACCTGAAAGGCGATACGTGTTCCTCGGTTTCCTTGTTTTCTTTGTGCTTGAATACTTGGGTAGACCACTGCCTTGTGCAAGAGAACGAGTCGGCATCAAGCATGCTTCCGTTAGCCAAGGCTACACAGGAGGCCGTGCCCATGTTTCCCGTGTCCTGCAGCGATGCACCAGTCGTGTTCTTGCGTTCCTTAGAGCGACACATATCGACGGATCGCTTTCCAGGCAGCCTGTTTATCTTCCTTCGTGCATCGCCAACGCAGATGGCTGCCGACAAAAGAGAGCTGGAGAGCATGCTGGATTACTTGCAGCGGGTCCAACAGGAGACGGTGAACAAACACAACTGGGACGCTGCTGGGCTGCGCATGGCTGCTCTTAGGGTGTTTCCTGCATCGAGACAAGAGATTGTACCTGAGCAGCCCTGTACAACCTTGAACTGTGGTAGATATCAGATGCCCATGGATTGTCAGACTGGGGCCACAAGCATGGGCGATAGCCCAAAGCTTTCTTGTAGATCCCGGCCCGTGGGGCTGTCGTTTTCTGATGGTGGGAGGTCTCTTGTTAAGGGTGCTTAAAGCTCCAGCTAGCCCCATAGGTCCTAGGTTTCGAGTCCATCCTGCTCCTGTGCCTTGCTCCTGCCAAGGATGTGACAGACAACTTTGAATGCTTCTACAACATGAAGGAAGCTCTTCGCTGCCAGCGCAGTCGCCTTGTAGCTGAGCTCCATAGAGAGGAGGGACAGCATCCTTTGAGCCTGTGCCAAAGAGGGGCGAATAAGGGGTGCAGATGTCGATGTATATGTCGGTGCATATGTCGGTGCCTATGTCGGAATTCTGTGCAGCACCCTGCCACGGCAAGGTCTTCAGGGACGTTTGGGCAGATCCAAACCTTCGCACTTTTGTAAAGGTGACTTGGACAGAGCTCAATTTCAAGCTGCCCATTGCTGTCTCGATGTGTGGTGCTGTTCTCTCGACCGCATGTCATATTCGTGACATCTTTCCATGGTGTCCTCACGAAAGAGGCCTCAGCAAACCGTGAGGCTGAATTCCAAAAGGCCCCCCGGAGCCATAAACCCTTCAAACCATAGTCATTTAAAGACGGGGTGTTTTTTTTCGTCCCGTGGCTTTGGCGGGGGCAAATCCTACCACCCACAACCCTAACACCACAAAACCCTAACACCCTTAAAGCCTAAAAGGCCAAAACCCTTTCAACCACGGTTGTCCACTGATAGCCGATCCAAGCAACTTAGGTAAACCGACCCGCTTCGACTGCAAGAGCTTTAACTAGGAGTGCTCGGCTAGGCAGGTGGATGCAGGTGGCAGAAAGAACCCTTAACCCTAGCGTCCTGAACACATGCGGCGCTCACGACTGTATTGTGCACGTGCGCGCGCTCAAGAAGGCTTGTGGACGCTTGTGATTATCGCTTGCGCTAAGTGTTGTGAGTACTGTGCGCGCTCACGTTGGTTAAGAAATGTTTCCAGAGGCCAGGGATCAGTTGCCTGAACGAAAGAAATCAATACTGGTGTTCTTAACTCCTTTTTTGGTGGACTCGTGGGGCGGTCTTGAACAAAAGGAAATTCACAAGATCAGTGCTGGCATCCATATCTTTTTCTTCTGGCAGAGTGACAGAAGAAAACTAGGAGAACCAGTGCTGGGTTTCTACATTGTTTTATCGGTGCAGCCCCGAAGCAATACAACAAGTCAGTGCCCATTCATTTTCTGACTCAGAAAGCCGCCTCGGAAACTTTGAAGTCTAGAAAATCAGAGCAGGCACTGTAGCGCTTGCCTTGAACGTTTGCGATTGACGCCTTGCGCTATGCATTCCAAGAAAAGTAGACGAAACAAGGCAACAACGCAGCTTCTTTCCTGTTGAAGCTCTGATCCCGGGAACGTCCAGCCCCTTCCAGTCCGTGTAATTCATGAAGCCCCCTTTTGAGTCAGTTGGGGAGCCAACAGCCAAGGCCGGGCTTGCATTCCAAGATGTGCGCCCTACTCAGCCGGGGAACACAAGGGGGGAATAGGTGTATGGATCTGATGTGAACATGACATGAATGGACGTTGTAGATGCTTGTGTAGACTTTTAGCATCTTTGGACTCGTCAACGGTTATGCAGACTTTAGGTGGTTTCGACGGTTTCCCTTAAGTTTGCATCTAGCTTCTAACGTAGCTTTTTCACTTCTCTAGCGGCCCTGCCTCGTGTCATCGCCGGCAGAATCTTTGGCATATACAAAGGTGTACGAGCTGTGGCAGAATCTGGGTTCCCACAGGCTTTTCTTTGTTTTCTTTTCTTTCTTACAAGCATTCCATCATGCTGCATGGTGCGTGCTTACAGGAGTGCCCTGACGCGGTGATGCGGGCAACATGTGAGAATCCATGCGTATGTATCTCCTGTACCTCCCCTCATCCAAGCTGCATCAACCCTTCCTATGGCTGCTCTAAGGGCGTCCCCGGACAAGTGTCCAGATGCTGTCGTTGGCCATGTGAAATATGCGGTGTACCTCATCAAAAGCAATTACCTGCGCGACGAGCCTGCAGTTTTGCAGAGCATTTCAGAGCAGTTTCCTCAATTACCTCGCAACTCAGGATGGGCTCAGGAGCTGTCCAAAGAAGCGGCAGCCATTGACGCCGTCAAAGCTCGTCAAGCCAGCTTCTTCGCTCTCGTCCTCTCCGGGATCTCAGGCTTGTAAAAAACGACTTGGATTGGGATTCTTGTTGCATGACGCTATGAGATCCAGATGAT